ACCCCATAGTCTCCATTCGTTTCTCTCAAACGTTGCTCGGTTGCAGAGGCGATTCTGAGATGGTTATTAGAGGGCTAAGGTCTGACCTCCAATGACTAGGACCCCAACATGAAGGAGTGCATAAGCCAACTGTATTAGCATGAACATCGGCGGTTTGCGCGACACATTGCCGAAGTAAATTTACAGTCAAATGCTTTATTGATGCTTCATATACGGATTCCAGGCACATACTAGCGGCATACTGTAGAAGTCGTATAACCGTAGCCGCGTTTTCATGCCATTTCACTCAAGCTATTCTGATATATTGAACCTAGGTCTTGTTCGATGATTACGTGATTATTTATTGATTACTTGTGATCAATGCTCGTCCTTTCTTCAGTCAGTTATTGCGCAGTCTATTTCTTAGCTGAATATCCATTCACAAATTTGTAGGTCAGTTCGTGCTCTAGTCGCTCAATTATAAGATTAGGTATTTGCATAAATTCATTTATTACTTATCATAGCTACAGTACTTTAATGAGCATCATTTTTGAAGTGAGTTAGCGAAACCGATTTGCTGCTGTCCGACGTCATAGACATTACAGTACTGGCGAATGAACGGATCGCCGAGAATCCATGCTGGACCGAATCCAAAGGTGTTCATTCCAAAGATGGCCAAGAGGCAACGGGCCGTCACCAGATGGAATGACGAGGTTCTGGGCAGTGATGGTGTATGTGTTGCCACCGATCGTCAAGTCCAAAGTAGGCTTAGCGTTACAATCAATGAGGTACACCTCAATCTTGAAGCATCATACTGAAATATAAATCCATTAATTAAATTCTCGAGCGCACTGAATTCACAAAGCATTGATCAAGTGTGTGTCGCAATTGGCGAACAGAAACCACTATTCACACTCCACTTCACCAAAGTTGATGGAACACAGAGAAGCCGATGCATTCAGTGTTACCTAAGCCTGACTAGGAAATGCACCACGTTCATGCTTCATTCAACCCGTGTACATTCTATACGCGGTATGCTCTATACAGGGCGGAAGTGGTGTAGTGGTGGCACGCTTACCACGCGAGCGGTCCGGAGATTAAATCCTGGCCCGTGAGTTGTCCGGGCCAACCAAGCCTTCCATCCCTCCGGGGTCGATTGATTATATCGTCAGTTTTAATCTATCTGAACCTTATAAACGACAGCCTTCTACGACGACATCAGAAGATTTTCCCACGGAAATATAGTTCGCGATACGAGCTCAACGAGGTCGTCGAGGTACCATAGACCATTACGACGTCCCTGAAACGCTGGTCAAAAGTGGTTTTGCATAGTCACAGCTAATGTCTCTGGGAAGCTATTCAAGTCAATCCATTGAAGAAATATGAAGCAGCTTCAGGCCGGAGCGATTACGGTAAGCCTCGTTGAGCTCGACGGTGGCGGCAGATGACGTCATATTCTGAAGACGGCGGGGCAGTGAAGGAGGGCCTGCTTCTGCTTACGGGGAACACCTAAGGAATATTCCGCCGTAAAACTTTCATTAACATCGGCACCCTGTGCGACGAAAAGTTCGATGATGTGCGCCATGGGCAAAGTGTCTCTTTTTTTGGCCACCCCTGTATACTAGCCAGAAAGGCAAGTAACAGCAAAATTGTACTTTTCAATAAAGCTATCCGTGCTCTTATGATATAACCAGCGACCCTCACGAACCGGAATTCACCATCCCGACTGCATGGTTTATGATCTGGCTGCTACTCTCCGATATTACGTTTCCACTGCGTCATTGCATAATCTGCTTCAGATACGTGTAAATTCACTTGATCAGGTGACGCCCCTGTCTTATCGGGCTTCAACTGTTAGAGGAGAATATTCCGTGCTGATAAGGCAACTACCTACAAAGTAAACAATTTCTTTCTCTCACGATTTCTTGATCACCTCAAGCGCATCTTATTTGATAGCTTCTATAAGGGTAAGCATGGAATAGAGATTTTCCAGCCCCGAATTTCGACCGGCTATCATTTGAAGAGTGGAAGGGAGTAGAACTGGTCTGAAGGAGATGGGGGAACAAATATGTGGGTCAACTTTCAATACCACGTGCAGTAAAAAAGATTCAACCCATGTGCTCTCCTCCCCCGCCCCCCTCCGCCCCACCGTGCGAAAGCTCAGCTTTTAACGAGAGATATTACGTCGTGAGGTATTACGCCAAAATATGGAAAGTTAAATGAAAAAGATAACCGTTAGCTCCATTGGCGTCAGCGATGGCGCTAGCTATCGAAGTTGGAGCAGCCAACAGGGAAGTGCCAGTGTCAGAAATCGCCTGCCATCCCTTGGCTGACGAATACGTGCCCGACGCAACGGCGCTGAGCTGAAAAAGGCACAGAACATGAGAAAAGCTATGAAAAACCCTTGCACGAAAACCGCTATATGGCGGCTTCAAGAAAAGGGTTTGCGCTTACCTTGAACTGGTAATAGGTTGCAGATGAGAGTGGCTGATAGGCAAGCACAGGACCACAATTTGTGGTGTCTAAGCCACCGTAGGTGTA